CACCTCAGAGACTGTGTGTGTGTGTGTGTGTGTGTGTGTGTGTGTGTGCGCGCGCGCATGTGTAGAAAGAGTGAGGGGGCCTCTGAGCTAATTGGCAGAGAGGGTGACAAAGGTGGTCCGCTTCAAAAGAGAAACCCTGGTGAGATGTTCACACAGGAGAAAAAGAAGGAGGGCAGTAAGGGAGTTTAGGAGGAGGAGAAAGGGAGTTTAGCGTTGGAGTTTAGATTTTGAGTTTATTCCTCATGATGTCCCCATCCTGTGCTGCGATGACGGTGGTGGCTGCTCATTACTAGGGGCATGTGTGTCGTTTTGATGAGAAAAGTGGACTGAACGTGGCTGAGGAAGCTGTGGAAGTAAACACTGGACGAGGATGAGTAAATTGAAAGGGGAGGAGAGCATCATGTCATACCTTGCACAGAGTGAGACTGACACCAGCCCCAAAGACTGTGAGTAACATAGAAGCTTAATGTTAGGAAAAAAGATGCATCTTTGTTTTAGATATAACGGTTTCATTTGTTACAACTTACCACTGTGTTTACAACTGACAATGATGCAGGCAAGCAATTAATTGTTGTGATATTAGAAAATATGCCTCCAACAAGTATCAGTCAAGTTATCACTGCTGCCATAGACTAAGCTGTAGTGAATTGTTTGGCACACATTGAAGGACATAGGATAAGTTTAAACCTATTTCAGGCTGAAAGGGTTACAAAATGCTGATCTGTGTAAGTTATGGGGAGGTACTACCAGCTCCTACTTCTATTTAAATAATCAGTGTCTGGCAATGCTGATTTACAGATGTCTGGCTTGTATATTTAGGTCAACATTTACACATTTTTACAGGTTTTCTCAGAGTGAAACTTATCAAAATGTTTTACGTATTAAAAGTCATAATTGATCAAATAATAATTCGTTTACCGTACTTTCTGTATGCTTTCAGTATTGTCTATATTTTGAGATGTGTCCTTATTATATGTGTGCAGTGAATGTAGTGGCCATGCTCCATAATTTCTGGGAGCAGAGGCAGATAGGTCAGTCAAACGGTTCCTCCAGTGAATCTGATGGTTCTGTTGGGGACGCAGCCATCCAGACAGAGAGCTTGCTGCTGTATGAGTCTGCACCGTCCCCTGGCCCTCCTTACATCTGCTATGTCACCCTGCCTGGAGGAAGCTGCTTTGGAAATTATAAGGTATGTTTATCATCATCAGTGTTGTCTGGCAGCATTTCTGCACTTGGTAGTCAATCTATCCTGCCTGCGTTGTGTCAGTGAGAACGTGCACCAGTTATCCTTCATGTGAAGTTGGAAATATCTCCATCATGAGTTGAGACCACACATAAGATAAAATGTTTTTAAGTTACAGATACATGCAGGTGATGTTTATGTCTTGGTAATAGAAACTGAGTCAACTGCAAATATAATACATGTAGGAAAACAAATCATCAACTTACAATTTGTTATTATAGGAAAATGGTTACTATGCCTGTTGTTTCAAATTAACTACTAGTCACTACACATACATAGTAATAATAAATTTTCTGCTATTGCTTCCCTTCATTTTGCTGCAGCACCACAAAATTGAGCTCAACTAAAATTAAAATCAAGTTTTTTTACTTTCACATTCAGAGTAAGGTGCTTACAAGCAGCAAATTAAAAACAGTCACACACTTTTACGGTTGTTATAAACGGCTGTCATTCTTCTTAAATACCACAATGCTGCCTAATAGGCTCATTGTGACCCAGACAGCAGCCCCCAGCTCAGAGAAGGCATGTGATAAGTTATCTGTGAATGCCTCTAATGTCCTAATCTCATTGATGATTTGAGTTCTGATCCCATGATTAGCTGTAATGAAGTGTAAAATCATCAAAACGGAACTAAGAGTGAGCGCCTGTTAACAGACAGAACTCACTGACTCAAATCAGTCGACCTTGGCTCACAGATATCAGCACACCCTGAAATTTCTTTTTGAAGTTTCACATCCTTTCCCTCTCTTTTTTAACGCTTTTTGTGCATCCCCTCCTCATCCTCAGGTGTGCAACACTCAGGCAGAGGCTCGGAGGGATGCAGCTCGCGTGGCTCTGATGAACTCACTTGTAAACGAGCTGCCCTGCAGACGAATCAACCCTCAGTTCATCACTCAGAGTTTGCAGCAGGCAGCCACAGACAGTGCTGTGAGTGTGAGCCAGTGCAAACATACAGTATTACACTTCGTTACAAGGCATGGTAGGAATGCCACAGAAGGAGAATGTTTAGTCTGAACATGAATGTTGCTGCACTGTTGTCTCTCTAAAGGTGTCTGTTGAAGATGCATGTGATTCAAGCACCAGCATAGGAACCTACAGTTTGCTGCTCCACTCCTACATAGGAAGGACCATGCTGGAGTTCCAGGTAAAGCATAAAGTCAAGGCCTATTTGTAAAATTGTATTTTTCTTATAACTGTCCTCATAAATCATGTAAGGCCATGTGGTAATTGTGTAAAAGAACTACAGTATTTACTTCAAATGTTTCAGGCTTCGTAAAGTGCTACTTTGAAGGGACCTTAAATAGTGTATTGATAATTGGACCCCCTATTAAAGCATTATCATTTCACATAATTAGAAATGATTAAGCCAAATGTAACAACAAGCTCTGGGTGGTAATTCCACCCTCTATTGTTATCATTACACCCCTATTCATTCCCATTCCATCTCACTCTCAGTTGGATCCAGACAGGGAGTCATGGTATTAAACACCTAATATTTCTACCTTTTGTGTAAATAAGCATATGTCTGCAGACAGAGGGCTATTAGCAGGAGGAAATGGGCTCATTATCATTCCTGTTAAAGCATGGCTCAAAAAGATGAAGCGTTTCCAAGTAATATATACACCACCATACACAGACATTGAAATGTATACACACACACACACACATACATTCAATTCTCTGCACACACAGCACCAACCATATGGTATGCAGCTGTCAGTCCTTTGTATAATTTATACATTCAGTCAGTGTAGGAGGCGTCGAATAGTTTGGAAGTCAGGTAGATTAACAAGTAGGCCCAGCACAGGGACATGCACAGTTGGAAACCGAGCAAACAGGCTGACAGATATAACATGGACTTCAACCCCAGACAACTAACGTGTCATATTTTCCATCTGTGTGTCATTAGGTCAATTTCAGTTGATCTATAGATTCTCTTTGTTTAACACTAATGTCACTAGCTCTGAACACATGGCAGCTGTTCGACCAGACATTGCTGTGAAATTTACCTGGTGCAAAAAGATTTACATTATCTTTTCAAACCAATCATCCACAGTTTAGGTGTGGGTCCAAGAAATGTCCACATAATATGTTATTTTTGTCAGACCTATGTACGCAGAGCCAGGTTTGTTATTCAAGTCATTACTTATGGGGTTGTGCAAGACTTTCTTTCTCTCTCTCTCTCTCTCTCCTCTCTCTCTCTTTGTATGTCTCATTCTGAACCACTTTCTCTCCCTCTCTTTCCCTCTGTAGGAGATGATGACAATTTTTCAGTTGTTGCACTGGAACGGGACACTGAAGGCTCTGAGGGACAGGCAGTGCTCTCGACAGGTACAGGTTTTAACAAGGATATAATCTAATTCCTGGTTTCAGCTAACTTTAATAGCACATCAGTGTCTCTGCTGCTACATAATGTTGATTACTTATTTTCTTTCCTCCCCCTCAGAGTGTGATTACCTATTACTCTCGACAAGGACTTGGCGAGTACATGCGCAGCAGCTTGGCTCTGGATTGGCTCGGACGGGAGCAGAGGTCACCAGGGCGCCTCGGGGAGGAGCTGCAGGTGGCGCAGAGGGAGCTTGTGTTGGCGCGGCGTCGAGGGATAGAGCTGCGCTTCTACAAAGAAAAGACAGAGATCCTCAGCCTGGCTCTGAGTCAAGCATACATTCACCACGCACCTGAGGCCTTCAGCCAGGCCCCGAGTCACACATATATGCAAGACCAATTTCCTTTACACACATTAAACAGCCAGGATACAGAAGTCCAGATAACTCCGCCCTGCAGTCCTTCACCAACCCTCCATAAAAACACAAAGCAAACAGTCTGTCAAACCTCTGCCAAACACATGCCCTCCAACAGTCCTGCACTCACAGCAGACTTCTGTGCCTTTAAATAACTTTAAATAGACTGAAGCAGAAAGTAGAAGATGGACGATATAAATTGTCATTTGGCTGTGAATGAGCTAAAAGTCTGCCACTCAAGATCTGACATCTGTTTGGGAGAACA